GTATATGTATATGTATATGTGTTTTTGACAGGTTTGGAATTCAACTCATCCTCGGCATCCAGCAAACTGAACACCTGTCTTGCAGGATCTCGAGTCCCAAGTTAGTGCAGCCTTTGGAGCAGATTGGTCGCAGGCCGATGCTTGTGAAAATCGGAGGGTCCGTGTGTGGAGAGACCTTGGTGATCAGAAACGTAGCTCCCGCACACACTGCTTAAGCTTGCAGCAGCTTAGGCCTCAATTTCAAAGCCTCGGATGTTTGTAGAGCAGGCCCTGTGAAGGGAGCCTCGGCAGCTTCGATCAACGACAGTGCACGAAGCATGAATACCTGCAATGCCCTTAGCGACTCATCCCTCGGAGATCCGTGAGGCTCTGCTTGTGGACATGCTTCCAAGGGGTGCAGACAGCATGGTGGAGGCCAGCGGCACATGAGCCAAAGTTTCGCCCCACTGAACCCTCTGCCCAGTGTGAGAGCGGATTCCGGGACTCGGGCCAGTCAGAGAGCTTTGTCTGTACTTGCCAGTTTGAGAATTGTTGCCTCTCCTGCCCCAGATCTTCCGCGCTGTGCTGTGCGAGAGCGACATGGCGAAGCTTCAGGAGAAGGACTTTCTGGGCACCGGCGGAGTGTTTCCATGAGCTGTGCAACTCGCTCTGGTGCAGGCAAAAGCTGTGAAGTCTTCGATCTGGCAGTGGCCGTGGCCGTGGCCTGCGCCTCATCCATCTTCATACCCAGATATTTGAATGCACATGTTCGTAAGACGTCGTATACTTGCGCTGGCTGCTTAAGCCAAAGCGAGGTATTGTAGCAGTGCGTCGGGAATATGTGCAACTTGTCGTTGCACACTTCTGAATTGAGGCATTCTACTCTGCAGCAAGGAAGGGGTCTGGTAGAGTCCAGGCTAGAGCCTAGATGCCGTGCGACGCCTTTGTAAAAAAAGCATGGCAGTGTGAGCTTCGCAGGCGTCCGGGGCGCCGGAAATCCAAAGGCCGAAAGAAAGTCGCCGAGGCTCTGGAGACGGTGCAAGGGACCCAAGGGCGAATGAAGGGTTCTGCCTGAGCACGAGCCAGAACTAGTGTTTTGCAAGACGGGGTGGCAGTGAGTGGAACATTTCGACAGGCCCCGGGGGCCCGAAGCGCGGCCGTGAGGTCACCGGAGCCAGTGAGTGGAGTTTGGGGAGTCCAGGATCGCACGGTGCAGTATTGAGGGGTATTGAGAGTGTGAGGCATGGGGCTTTCCGGGAGGGCTGTCAGGGTTTCAGGCTGATAACATGTAAGTCGAGACTTCCATTGCGCCTTCTGCAGTAGGCCGCTGTCGCCCAGAAAACTGACAGATTGTTTTTGGCGTACGGTGCCAGTTCAGAGACTGTATGACATGGAAAAAGACAACGGCAGCCACTGGCATCATTGCCCCCGCAGCTCTTCCTTGCAGTGTCCTCCTCATCCGGTGTCTGGTGGCAGGGCTCGGAGACCGGGCCTGGAGCTCTGCGCTGAGGCTTGGTGCGAGAGCGCGAGAGCAAAGGAGGCTGATCCTCAACAGCGGGACGAGACTCCACCACCGCCCCGTGCCAGAAGACTCCACTTGTGATGGAATCCCGATGCAGACTGGAGGGTGTGCGTTCTAGTCATCCCAAGAAGGCTCATGCAGGCATGTAGAACTGCTGCCTGCAGTCCTGACAGCTAGATTGGCTGCATGGTGTCAGCAACTGACTGTGGAATCACGTTGTGTGTCTGAGCCAAGCGGCTGCGCAGAAAAGAATGCGACAAAAGCACGACAATGCAAGAAACTCAAGAACCACAAACACAGCGAACAACGGCGACACATGCGAACATCGCGAATCATGCGCAAGCCACGAAATTTGCGCGCGAAGAGCGACCCGTAGCAGTCTAATGGTAGCCTGCAGCGTGGTAGTACTCGTCAATGCTGGTAATGGTAGTAACAGCAGCAGCTGTAGTGGTGGCGGCATAACAGTCGTGGCAGCAACAGGAGGCTCGCTTTGCGTTTCCACAGGGTGCTGCATCAGCACTTCGCACCCCTTGCCCGCCTCCAAACGGAGCAGGTTTTGTTCTAATCTTCACACATCTCGCGATTCGCAAGCTCCCTGCGGGGCGCGGGCAGGCCTTCAGGGGGTTCCTCGCTGCGAGGCCGACCTCCTCCTCGCCGGCACGGTTCTTCGACTCCTCTGCCGCTTCGGTGTGTTGGAGCCGCTCGGTGAAAGCCTGGGCCTAGACAGAGAGAATGTGGGGGCGAAGGGAGCGCCGGACGCCCCCCCCCCCCTTCCTACAAGGTAAAAAAAGCCCACCAGTTAGCCCGCGATAAGTCATGAAACGCCCCGAAGACCCAAGTGCTTCTGCAGGTGCTCGGTGGAAGAGGCCTTCTACGACTTTGCACAGTTTGCGCGACAGCAGATGGACCTCCAACACGAGGTCCATGGGTTGTCATGGTCCATGGCCACTCCCAGTCGTCTTCTTCGTGTGCGTACACTGATTGAAGAATCGCTCGCACAGCTCGTCGTCTGCGAACACTCACACAGCCAGAAATTTGAAAACGCCATAGGTTCCACATGCCGCGCAATCACAGGTCCGGTTGCTTCAGCAGATTCGGTCTTCGCTCTCCACTCTGGAGGCTGGGACTTTGCAGCCGGCCTAGTGGGCCTAGTGTATCGAATGAACCTCTGGGAGTTTAGAGTCGTGCACCCTCCCAGCTGCGAAAATGCTGATGTGGTGTTGCCAGTACAGGTTTTGCTGAAAGGTTTCGGGGCTTGCTGATTTCTCAGGGCAGAGCGATCTTGGAGGAACATTGCCGGTCTCTTTGCCACGATCGGATTAGGTCAGCAAGCTGCACATGAACGAGGAAGCTTAAGCAGGTGCGTGAAGGTTGACAGTTGGGCTGGAGGGATTGATTCTGAATATCGTTGCAGCAGAGAGAGGCTGGCCAGCAACAGGTTCCCCGCATGGCTCTGCCGCGTCCGCTGGCTCAGGGCAGCCCGGAGGCCACCAGGTTTGGAGGGCTTTAGACTCAGTGTGCAGTCTGATGCAGCGGCGATCAGGGACTTCTAAGAGTTTCACGGCTCTGGCTACGGTTGACACCGCTCGGGTCTCCACGGACCCGGTCGCTTGCTGAAGCCTTCTCTGATATACTACAAAATCGGTTTTGTTAGTGCTCAATACCCGCAACAGTCTGAGCATCTTTACATGGAAAGATTCTATCGTCTGTGTAGAGGACGGCTGCATTGTAACATTGACGACGACCTCCCGCCTTGCTGAGTTTTCCCACAGTCACTTACATGATTGCAATATGATGCTCCAGTGAAATCCGATGCTTTTGGAGATTTTGCCGGGCGATATCGGCCTCTCAGCTGCTTGCAGACGCAGTTGCTCCTGTAGCACCATCTCCAATCCGACAGCCTGGGAGGTGGCGCTGGTCACCTGGGAAGAAGGAGTTTGCCTGTCCGAGGTGCCTGCTGGATGGTAGCGTAGAGCACTGGAGTCACTAGAGCGGTGGATTTCGAGCAAAGGTTTCCTTATAGCCAAGGCTAAGGGCGAAAGGTCAATGTCTGAGCCTTTCAACGTCCCAAGTCTTTTGGGCCTCTCCTTCCCCTTTCCTGGGACAACAGGTCATCCGGCGGCCGTTTACGGCGAGCAGCATGGAGCACATCCCCCAGCCTGTTGGCATTTGGCCAGGGATTCTCTTTGGGCTCCACTTCGTGACGTCCGTTAGGTCATGGGGCATGCCGAGCCGGGCTCAATTGCTCTGGCTTTGGCTCTGTGCTGCCTTCTTGCCTGTGTCAGGGACAGCGAGATCGCCGCGCGGATGACAGCTGCGAAGATGCTTGTGCCAACCTCAGCTGGATGGGGATAATCCCTCTGAGCAACAGAATTTCTTACCAACAGCACTGGAACTCGAACCATTGGTGCCAAGGCTAAGACAAAAGTCGCGAAGCCGGGAAGATTCTTACAGTAGCGTCACCAAATCAGATGACAGGAGAGGCAGGGTCTCTCGAAAGACGGAAAGGACCGTGGCACAGGGAAGTTACCTCACTCCATCACGCCGTCTGCCGTGGAGTGTGTTTCCTTTTTGGCGTGAGGTTTGTCTGTCTGCAGTCCTTCGGGCCTAGCATTAGGGCTTTGCCTGCTGGGGCGCTCATGGCGCGGTATGTTTTGGTCTGGTTGAGAATTTGTCGTAGGTGTGGCGCTCAACAAGGTTAAAGAGCTTGAGGTGTCAGTGATGGAGTATGGTCCTGGTTTGCGTATTTGTAGAGAGTTCGCGACTTCGAATTTGGATTCCTTCTCGATCCATTAGCCACCCAGTGTAGTCTATTTTGGATTTCGAATTCAGGATGCCACGAAGGCGACTGGGAAGCTGCTTGATCCACGGAAAGCTGAGGCCAGGGTGTTCTGGAAGCTCCTCTTTCGTCACCGCATCGCACTGGGCGGCTGCCTCAGAGCCTTCTCGTGCGTTAGGGTCCTGTCCCGAGTGGTGACTGGAGCTGTCGTCTGTTTTGTGTTTTCCCGAAGGGTCCCCCTGAGTGCAAGTAGGTGCAAGTCATACCGCAGCAGTTGCAAGTCCTCGCGCTTTGCGGCCATCCAGCTCGGACTGTTTCACATCCAGAGCAGATTCGAAGATTTCGGTGAAACCCTGGTGAAACCCGATGATCGAGGGCAAAGCCCTGGTGGCGGACGCTCTGCAAGGATCCACTTGCTTCTCGAGGGCTCAGGGGCAGGGGCTGAGAGCTTGTGGATGGCTTTTCGTTGAGCAGCTTAAAATCCTCGCCAGCCAGCCGGTCAGTCTGTCTGTCTGTCCTGTCCGTTTTTGTTCGTGCGCCCATCGGTCCAAACATCAGCCCGTCCCCGCGTTCCTACGTCCTCGTCCGTCCGTCCGTTCGTCTGTCCGTCCGTGCATAGACGTGTGAACAAACTTGTGTATAAGTGCATGTCGATGTATACATACTGATGTATAAGTACAATCGCAAATTCATCAACATGTGCAGAACAGAGAATATATCTACATGCTCGTCCCGATGTGCTGCGACAGGAAGCTTCAACAGAAGCGGCGATTTCACGGTTTGGGTCGAAGAGCGTTCAGAGCCCGAACACGGTGAAGCGAGAAGGTCAAAGTTCCTTGTGTGGTCCTTTATTCTGTCAGCATGGTCGGATGTTTTGGAAACTATGGTGAGCCAAAACTTTATGGAGGGAATTCGTGGCGAGGTTGTCATTCGCGACTTCTCTGCAAGGGCCGTGGGGGCTTTCTTGCGGTTCCTCTATGCAGGTGTGGTGGAAGAAGAGAGTCTGGTGGCAGTCGTCGAAGTAGCTGCAATTGCAGACAAGTACGGCGTGAGCAAGCTGTGCTTCCTCTGTGAAGATTACGTTGTAAAGTCACTGTCCCCGGAGGATGCTTGCGAGTTCCTTGCGTTAGCCGACCGGTACAACCTGGATGACTTACGGCAGAGCTGTTTGGATCACATTCTGGTTGCACCCAAGAAGGCTTTGAGAAGCTGGCCATCTATCGAGCCTTCGCTGTTGCAGGAGGTGCTTACTTCATCCCTGCTCTGCCTGGATGACAAGGAGCTCTTTGAACTGTTTCTGGCATGGGGCACAGACTCTGGCTTGGGCCCTGTCGTGGCTTTGATAGAGCAGCATGTTCATGCAAGCCACATATTGCGGAGGGACGCACTGGTCCTTGTGGAGAAGGTGCGAGCCTTGCAAGATCCTGCGGGAGAACGGCTAGTGTCCATACTGATGCAGGCCGACTGCACAACTTCTTCGGCTGACCTTCTGAACTTCCTGTGCCGCGTGAGCCGTGACACGGAGGAATTCCTGGGTTGCCGTGTGAACGTAGGGGTCAGTCGTCGGGGGCTCATCCCACCCGGTGGTCTTTCGGTACCAGCTCGGGGCAGGATCGAAGGCTACGTACGAGCTGGTGACTGGATCGCTTGGACACTTCCGAATGACGAAGTCTTTCTTTCGGGCGTTTCTTTTGCTGCCAACATCAGCTGTGCAGACCATTTGCTGGTCTATGCTGCTCAAGAGACTTCTGGATGGACTCTGGTATTGGACACAAAAGCCCATGGCTGCATCCCGCATCGTACCAAGATCTCGTGCAGGTGTTCTCGTGCGGTGCAGAGGTTGAAGCTCCAAGTCATCACAACAGCAAAGAGCGAAGGAGTCAGGCTGGGGAAGCTAGAAGTGCATGGGGCATTTGCCCCTGCCTCACAGGTCACATCTGGGCTCCCACACAGCATCAGCGACAGCGAGGAAGAGCCATATTACGTGGACCCTTTCCACCAGCATCAGCCTGAAGCCAGGGACCTGAGCTCCGGCGAGGAATCGGGAATGGACTTCGACATTTTCGGATGAGCGCATGTGCTGGTGTGCTACGGCCCAAAGTCTGGCAAAATCGAGCGCACTTAGGCAGAGTCAGCTTCTGTACTTGGGGTGTGTGGGGCGTTCTGTGCGGCAGTGTGTAACTTCAGCGCAACTTCCAACCGAAGTCAAAAGCAACGACGCCAACCGAAAACATTGGAAGTTGCAGTTGGTTCCCCATCGTACGCAGAGATTTAACACTGGTCTTCACAAAGCTTCGATTGACGGGTGTCAGAACACTCCATCCTGATCTCCTCAATTGCTCCGTGCTCGAGAGCTTGGCAGGTGGCCTCTGCGCAGGCCTGACCGTCGCAGTGCAGTGAGTTTTTGCATTCTGCTGTCTCATGATGCCTTCAGGATCTTGCAAGTTTGCTCGCGGATTCAGGGTGTGGTTTCTCAGGAGCAGGCTTGTGAAGGAACCAATGTTACTTCAGGACGGGAGTGGGTTGCTAAAGGAGGGTCCACAGCCAAACCAACCGTGTCCGCAAGCTGCCTTCCACTGGGGCTTCGTCGCTTCCACGATTGGTCATCGCACCGTACGATCGTCATCAGTCAGTGCAACAAGCAGCGAGCGTGTTGGCTGACAAAAACTGGGGGAGTTCTTGTGGCAGGGAGCATGGCAGTGGCGGTTAAATGCGATCCGGACAGGCAATGTCCTGCTGCGAACCGCCATGGATGACGAGGATCATTACCAGGCCCGAGATGGAGGTTGTGGAAGGTTGCTTTTGATCTCGGAGAACAGGAAAGAAGCAACACAGCTTGGGCACGAGATCACCACTTTGCGTGATCGAAGTCCCCAGAACCCTAAGCCGTAAACTCTGAAGCCTTAAGCCTAAACCCTAAACGGCCCTAAACCCTCAACCCTTAAACCCAACCCCCAAACCCAGAACCCTGAGCCGCACAGCCCTAAAAGGGAGCCCTAAAAAGGAGCCCTAAAAAGAGCCCTAAAAGGAGCCCTAAAAAGGGCTCCCAAAACGATCTGCAATGAGCGCCTCGGCCGAGCCGGAAGTCGCCGCATCGACAGCGATTCGGCGGCCAATCGAGGAGCTTACCGAGGACTAGGTTTTTGATTTTTTTTTTTTTGGGGGGGGGGTTTCAGGGTTTTGAAGTCTATTTTTGTTTAGCAAATATAGGTTTCAATAATAGGGTATATGACATATGAATTCCGAGGACGAGGCCGCGGTCATCAATCAGCATCGGCAGAGCTCCTTCGGCGAGTCTGCTGCAATCGGGAGCTCCGAGGCATTTAGATCCCACTACGGCAACGGGGCTCTCCTGATTGCTATGGTGCCTGCCTCAAGCTCGACGGCACCACAGCCACCGCCGGGCGAATGGCTGGCCTTCGCAGTACTCCGGCACATGCCAGACATTGTGGTAGGCGGCGGTGAAGCCGCACAAGCATTTCCCTGCATCGGTGTATGTTCCGTAATTGCAATTCAGCGTGGCCAAGGGTACGGCCGACAGCTGATGGATGCCTTACGAGCGGTGATGGCAGATGAATTCCCGGGCTACCAGGCGCTCGGCTTCACGAAGTCTACCGGCTTTTTTGCCCGATGCGCGGGCTGGAGAACTCTCCACGATTTCATCAATGCTTTTGAGTATGTTGACCCTTCCACTGAAGAGCATGTCCTAGATGACGACGGGGACGCCTTCTTCTTGGAGCCCAGCTCTGACCTTGGCAACCGCCTAGTTGAGGAAACCGTCCGGCTCGCCGCGTGGCCCGTAGAGCGCGAGCACGGGAGCGAGCTCCCTACTCCGGCCGCTCGAGCAGTCATCTCCGTTCCATTCTGGTGAGAGCAGAGGGGGCAAGGCGCAGGCTTTGATAGGGGGTTTCAGAAAGTTACGGGTGTTTCTGTAGAGGTCCTCGAACTAAGGATCCTGCGTTAACGGGGTCCGTAGAGGTTTGATCCCTGGGCCCTGGACAAGGGCACAGAGCTCAGTGCGGGAGGATCGAGGCTTTAGGGCTTCAGGCTTGGGGGGCCTTGCACCCTGCAGGAAACCCCGGACTAAATCCAAAAACCCCGAATTAGCCCCCACACTAGAAGCCCTAACTGCGATTTCCTTTTTGACAACAGGAGCTGCAATCCGGGTGTCGTTCGTATTGTAGAGTCCTGCAGCATGACAAGACTTAAGACTGAGGATGATGCAGAGTTGCCCAACGTAGCAGTAGGTCGACACGAGTTGCATCGCGAGCTGAGAGCATGGAGTCCAGATGCAGGTAGTTCTCCTTCGTTGTGGTCTCTGCCGCCAGGCCTGAGCTGGGTTTCTGGTTCAGGGCAACGGAAATTGTGCAGGGCTTGGGCTTCTCAGGCAGGTCGCTTTGAGCCTGTCGAGTCCTTTTCTGAGCCACCGCTCCACTAAAGAAACCTGCCATAAAAGGGATGTGTTTTTTTTCCAAACCTGTAGCGTGCTCGTCGCCTCCAGCAATCGCTCTTCTTTAGAGCGAAGAGTGCTATTTCTTTGACTTGCCGGTTTAGGCTTCGAGACTGCCCTGGCAGAGGTGGACCAGGCCACTGTTGACGATGTGCGGGAGATTGCCTCTGCTGTGCACAGAGGCCCGCGAACTGCACTCTGTTCTCGCGTCTGCAACCTCTTTTGCACTTCAGGTGCATCCCCATGTTGCAGGCAGCCACGATGCACCTAATCTACTCTTTTCTGCATTTGTCCCAAACCGCGGGGACTTGAGGAATCAGCATTTTGCTGCTGGTAGAAGTCGAACATAGGTCAAGCATGTGTCAGGCACAGTCCCCCCGCAGAGGTCAGGCACAGCTCCCCACAGAGGTCACAGCCGTCAAGCACAGCTCCCCGCAGAGGTGCATCCCCTAGGGAGCTCGGGGAGCTGTTCTTGAGCCGAGGACGGGAACCTATCTTTTTTGCTGAGTATGCAGTCGGTGCCTTCAGTATCTGCAAGATGTTGTGCTGTGCATGTACAGTACAGCGATGTAGGCATGGCTAAAACTTTGTCGCGATTTTGCTGGGTAGTCGGTGGGGCAGGGTTGAGACCCGAGTCATCAAGATTCAAGAGTGTCATGACCTCTATCAGAGCTCAGGCCCGTGCCCAAACCAGCTGAAGGGCTTTGCGGCTGACAGCACGGAAGGGCTTCAGAGCTTGAACAGTCAAACTATACGAAAGCTGTCTCAGTAGAAGCTGCTCGTAGACAGAAATAGACAACCGAAAGATAGGTCGATGCAAAAACTCATGAAGAGATGCATGCTTGAATGCCTGCCCGCTCGCCTGGCGGCCTGCTTGTCTACCTGCTTTTTTGCCGAACTGTCTGCATGTCTCCGTCACCTTCCGGACTCCCGCCAACAAACAGAGCCGCCAAAGCGCCCGAGCCTGCGCCCGAGCACGCGCAGTCCACGGGCGAGCCGGCGGCCGGCCGGAGGAGGCGGAAGCCGCTTTTGAGTTTGTTACTTTTTATTTCCGGGACAAGATTTTCTGGGATCGATTGGAAGCATGAACTCTCGTCTGTGAACGCTTTGCTTTGGACCACAATGATCCGGTACACGCTCGGATTGACAGGCTTCAGGGCAAGCCGCTCAATGATATGTGCTCGCCAGGGCATCATCAAAGGAAGGTGAAAAGCATACCGCACTTCTGCTGTCTGAACCCAGGCATTCTTGGGCTGGGAATCACAGTGCGCAGTGTTAGTGATTGTCGCTTTGAATGGACTGCTTATCACTTCGCTCGACCAGCATGACCGGAGCTGTTTGGAAGCAAGGGCATGACAGAGACTGACACCTTTCGGCAAGTGATCGTATGCTGAGAGAGCTGGAAGTTTGCTTGATCTTGCTGGGAGGTTGTGGACCCTGAGGGCTTTTACTCCAGCATTGCCAGTCTACTGGGCGATGGCCTCAATTCAGGAAACAGGTTAATTCAGGAAACAGGTTCTCTCTGAGCAGAGCGGCTCTGCCAAGACCGTTCTGCCTTTCGCAAAGCCGATTGACAGCTCAAAAGGGTCCAGAATCATTCCGAAGAGTCAATTGTCTCCAGCGTATATTTCACAAAGCCAGATGCCCGTGGCATGAATTTCTGCATTCTCCCAGGGCTCACCTGCCTGGCAGAGAGTGGCGGAAGCGGCGTGACGCAGCCGCTGGTGCCACTCTCTTTTTGCTTGATGGGGTGGTTTGGGTGGTCAAAGTGCGGAGGATCAGGGGTTTGAGGACGAAGCAGTCTTGAAGCGCTTCCCACAGTCATGAGTAGTTTGCCAAGCCTGTCCGCCTGCCTGCACTGCACAGCGCGGAGCGCTGCTCCTTCACCGGGGCCTGGAGAAACTCCGGAGCCATGGCCTCAGGGCATCTTTTCGGACATTCTCTGGAACCCGTCCAAAACTGCTTATGTGACAAAGATCAGAGGTTGTTACTGAAAAGCCCGTCCTTTCTTCTTGGAGATGTCTCGAATTGGGGCTTGGGCTTGGGCCCCGTCCCAGGCCACGGAGTCCGTGCGAGCGCCGCCGCCAGCTGAGCCGCCGACACCGCGCGCCAGAAAGATGAGAAAACCCAGACAGGCGCCGCTGACCTTCTGAGGCCCATTTGCAAGTGGCCACTGCGGCGGTAGCCGCTCATGGTGCCCGGGGACTGAGTGCGTCCAAAGCTTTCGGGGAAACTTGCAAGTCTTGCAGCGGACCTAGTCCTCAGCCTCAGATTGCGAACGAGTGACGGTGCTCTCAGACATGCAGGAGGGGAGATTTGAGCAGTGAGCATTCGAGAACCGGGCAAGGTTTGCTCCCGTCTGGATCCCTTCAGTGACGGCTGCCTTTATGAGGCACTCCTGGAGGCGCTACTTCGGGTGTAGGGTTCGCGGTTCTTGGGCTCAGGTCGAGTGTGGCTTGGGTTGAGATATCAAATACTTCGAGTTTTGCATAGTGGCAGTCAGCCGGGCCCGAGACTCCAAGCCCCGCGCTGGCAGGTGGAGGGCGGCAAGTTCTGAGCATCGAAGATTCGACTGCTCTGAGCGTTCCATGGGAGCTTTGGGCAGCCAGAGCTCCCGAAGGCGCGAACTCGCGCATATTTTCAACGGATATCTGGGGATGGAAATGACATGTTCAGTTCACCAAGAGTCCCAAAATACGAGAAGGAACGATCCTTTGTCCTTTTGCCTTCTGTTCGACCCTGCCAATCGGTTGAGGAAAGGCTGTGATCTACCAGCTCTCATCACACACCCGTTTCAAGCAGGTGTGTGTGGGCTGTGTGCTTCCATCACTGGATTTCGTCAGCTTAGCGGCTCAGTCCGGATCCCAAGCCACTATGCACTCCGAGTCATGAGCCAATCAGCCTCGAGAGCCTGGAGTGGGTGGCCCAGGAATGCGAGCATGGCGTGCATAACAAGGCATGGCATACCAAGTGGCTTGCGACTCGCACATCAACTCGCGGCAGCTGCACGAACAAAGAGCGGGTGCGTGGTGAAGCGAGGAGCGCTGTCAGCCATGACTTCGAAGTTGCAGGCGCTTAGGAACCCTTCAGAAGGTCAGCAGCGTTGCGGCTAGCAGGGTTAGAATGGTTAGAGACGGCTCCAAGCGAAGGTTTCAAGCGTTTGTTGAGCTGTGAAATGCTGTGCCAATAGGAAGAACGAGCAAGTCTGGAGAGCAGCACGCAATGTTCAATGCATGGGGCACATGGTCCATGTTGGTCAGCCCGTCACATCCCGGGCAAGTTGTAGACTATTTCGACTGCCTCCTCACCTTCATTCCACACGCCTGCTCGAGACCATCTCTGCGAGCAAGAAAACGTCAGCTTGGAGGATTTGGCTCGTGCATGCCTTATGCAAGCTTGGGCATTCATTTGCTCCGTGGTCGTGGCAGTGGCTTTGGGGTCTTCATCAGCGCTTGTTCCGAGATCACGCACACGGTTTTGGAATCTCCCGCGCAGGCCGACCCTGCCGCCGACGAGCTGGTTAGGCCTGGGGTTCGGGGTTCGGTTTTGAACTTCGCGCGACGTTGCCATAGCCACCCTCTGAAATGTTGGTTGTGGGGCGCTGTACCCTGCTCGCAGGCGGATAGACAGAGAGGACCGAGACGGCCCCAAAGCGGCAGCCAGGGCCTTCTCGCTTTCCCCTGCTCAATTTGCACGAAGTTTGCTGAGACTTGTCACGGCCCAGATGTACACACCTCGTCTTCACAACGCCCTGTAAAGTATCAATCGCAAAATTCGAGGCCTCACCAGCGCCTAAGACGCCGCCGAAGGCGTGCACTGAGTTTGTGAGGTCCTGCAGGTTCAAGGTGTACCAGGCTTGAGGTTCCACCTGCAGTTCGCCGTCCCCTGTGAAACAGGCGAACGAAGCATCCGACTGTTGAGAGCATCCGCGTGCGAGTAGACGAGAAGCCTATCAGCCTGCGAAGTCGAAGCCAGAAGATGGCGGGCCATCAGGCACCGCCGAAGAAGGTGCCGCCTCCGCCGGCGAAGCCACCGCCAAAGGAGATCTTGCAGGTGGGGCTTTGACGTGCCTCCGCTGTTTGTGCTTTGATGCTCCCCTATGGTCCTCAAAAAAGTGTTGACCGCAGGGTGCCGAGAGCGCTCCCAGGTGCCGCTGGGAAGCTGCAGGGCTTTCAGTGCAGAGATGTGCAGAGGTTCAGATGTCGGGCCACCTTCCCGTGCAGAGCTGATTCAGAACTGAGTAGCGTTCCGTTGACATGTTCGGTTCAGCATCGTGATCTTCGCGTAAGACTCACATACACACGACACCCCACTTTGCTGGCATTCCAACGCCAAACCCCCGAGTATTGCCTTTCGCCCGCTCTGCCAGCAAAAGTGATACCAGCTTACTTCAGGCAAGGGTGGTGCCTAGCAATTCTTAATTGAGTTGGACAGGCTGCTTCTGTAAGGAGAATGGGTCCTACGAACCTGCAAGGGGCTTCTTCAGGTGCCAAAGTTGGAAGGGCTTCACTCTCAGCACCTCTGCAGGACGCTGCGAAAGACAATCGAGGCCGGGAGCTCTTGATCGCAGCTTTCCTTCGTGTGCCATGGAAACGGCAAAAGCAGGTGGGGTGGGTCAGGCCTGCGTTTGCTCCCGACTTCAGGCAAAGCATTCGGAATTCGGGAGTGTGAGGCAGGGTGGCATAGTTGTCCAGAGCCTCGCAATTGGAGTAATTTAGAGCTCTTCCACTGGTTGTCGCCTGCGTCACCTGAACTGCCATTGTATACAGAATCCTCTTTCCGCTGCTGCGCCAGCAGGAAGCTTCGAAACGACGGCCGCCTGTCCCGACCTCAGAGTATTTTGAGTCCCGTAACTGCTTGGACCAACAAGATAAATTATTCCGTCCGCCATAGCACACGTGGTCTCCAAAGACCCCAGAGATCACCATCCTAGGGCCTAGGACTTTGTCTGGTGCTTGAAATAAACCTTGCAGAGTGCCAGTTTTCGGAGAAGGCGCCACATGCAGCACGCAAGCAAGTCGCACTGGAACTGAAGAGAGAGCCAGAGCTCCCTCTTGACCCGCCCGCCCCAAGGGGGCTTCTACATGTCAGGAGCCCAAGCAGGCCCCGCCGAAGCAGGCGCCGCAGAAGCTTTGGCCCACAGAAAAGGCACCCCGTCGGAGAACACTGTTGAACTCAATTGGATTGTTGGCCATGTGTTGGGCCTGTGCCCTTCTTTCCATCACAGGCGCATCCTCCAGCGAAGGCGCCCGCACCCGCAGCTGCGCGGGGCTCCACGCCGCCACCTCCACCACCCCAAGGGCCCCCGCCCGGCACAGCCCCGCCGAAGGCACGGCCAGCAAGCGCAGGCAGAACGGGAGCAAAGGCTCCGTCGACACCGCCCCCGGCTCCGTCGACACCGCCCCCGGCTCCGTCGACACCGCCCCCGGCACCGCCGGCACCTGCCCCACAGCCACCAAAGCCAAAGCCAAGCGCACCAAGCCAGCCGGAGCCTCGGATTCGTGCCGTGGCGATTCGTTTACATCACCATGGCATATTTTGTATATTAGTGCACATCAAACTAGAACCAGAATCAACAAAAACAAACTGAGCAATCCCGTTAACATTCTTGTAATCGTGACGACGACAGTCTCAATGATCACTTCTACACAGCAGAAAAAATCCCTTGAACCACTCGACAAAATGGGGGTCGGCGGCAAGACACAGCAATATGACGGATGACATGATGCGTACCTGCAGACATCCCATACAACCTCATGGAGAGCTCTGGACAAGTGAGTTGATGCTGCATGCCTTGCAACCGATCAGTTGCCGGGCTGTGGTAGCACTGCACAATCTCAACAAATCAGAAAGGCACAGGTCTGACGGAAGGGGAGGAAATAGAGTCAACTTAACTCAGACACTTTTCCTGGCCTCTCGCGCAGAGCAGGCCGCCACCCCCGCATAACCGAACGGCAAACTGGAGATTTCCGAGGTCAACAGGGACAACTCATCAAGCTGAGAAGTATGAGGCTTCTGATCTAGGGCAGCTTCATGAGCAGGGAACTCGTCCGGACCGTCGGCTGGCAAAACGCAGGCTTTTGGAAACGGAACTGAAATCAAAGCTGGAATCGCTCTGCTGCGAGTTTGTGTTTAATCCTTAATCGTTTTTCCCTGCGTTGAAAGATCTGTCACGGGCATGCGCAGTCTGCGCTGTGAGGGTTTACACAACTGAAGCTGACACAACCACGGGAGTCAGCGATCTCTTGTGAATGCACCTTGCTGTGAGGCCGGCAGTGCCGCCGCCACCGCCTGGGCCTCCTCCACCACCGCAGGCCCTCTTGTTGGCACAGTGCTGTAAGCCAGCAAATCAAGTCAAGGCCATCCAACGTCTGAAAGGATGCACCATGCAGGGAGCCTCTGAAGTCTTGTCTGCGATGGAGCTTGATGTCGATTTGGAAACATGTCGATGGCGAAATAGCTGATGAGCTTGAGAAGGTTTTCAGGAAGAGTCTTGTTGAACTGCGACACCGCGTTTCGGGGTCCTATGACTGTGACACAGACAGTCTGAGATAATCTAAGATGCGAACATGTCTCAGGGGATAGCAACAGATTTCTCGGCAGGTGATACCGAAGGCGGAGCTGAGACCCCGGATGCCCAAGCAGGGAAAGCCGCAGCCGCCGAAGACGCCCCCGCCGACGATCCCCAAGGCGGTGACTTTCCCAGCCGCAAAGGCGCCACCCGCCAAGATGGTGCCCCCGCCTCCCAAAGCCAACGGTCCCGCCCTCACCTTTGGAGTAGCAGCGAGACTGTGGCACTACCTTTCGGAATGCACATGGTCAGACTCCGTCTCAAAATCATGATGTGCTGAGGTGCGCAAGACCGAGACAGAAGCCGAAGCCGCGACAGGTCCCCCATGCCGAAGCTTCCTTGAAGTTGAGACGGTTCACTAACCTAGTTGGCGGGCTTTGAGCCGGAGACAAACTCTTCCGTCGTTGGCTGTTTTGGGTTTCGCTTGGACTTTTGGGACGGCGCGGCTTTTCGTTGCCCAGACAGAGTGTATGATATGAGAAGGCAGCAATACTCGTTTCGCCCGCCGAGCCGCATTCTTTGCCGGCGGCTATCTTGGCATCTGCAGCGCTGTCTTCGAAGGCAGAAGGTGGCCGCGGCGGGCGAGGCGCATGATGAGGCGCCGGGCGAGGCGCCTTCTCCTTCTTTTTGGGGGTCTCGGCTTGGGCCGGCAGTGCTCAGTTCGGCTGCATACTCGGTGTCGGAGCATGTCCAGGCTATGGGACCTGGGAGGAGCAATGCAGTCCCGTAGGAACTTGAGCCTGAACGGTAACCTGTCAGAGAGTTTGTTGGGTTGATTATTGACTGCCGCACGATCGGCACCGCTAGTCTGTGTCTAGCAGCCAGCATACGGAGATTGTTTCACTCACCCTCCAGCTCCAAAGACGATCGACACCACAACGTTTTGGAGGCGCCACACGACATGGCCGCCTTCCTTCGCGAGCTGGACCCCACCGGCCAGATGGACCAGTGCCCGTCTGTCAGTTGTGAAGTTCATGATAAAAGTA